TGTTAAAAATGGCAAAAGGCAGCATGAAAGTACCTTAATATGCATTATGAGAAGACCGGGATAGTTGATTTTCACCTAGCAGCGGCCATTTTTAAGGAACTTATGAGCTTTGGAAAAATGGGCATTCTGAGATAACATAGAAAGTACCGAGAAGACAGCAAGAGATTATGGTCATAGGTGGGAAAATGGGCATTCTGAGATAACATAGCAGTGGCCATTTTTAAGGAACTTATGGGCTTTGGAAAAATGGGCAGCACCAGCTTGCAGCATTGGAAGACTTGGCTTGGGCGTCAACAATTTCAGCTATCTATCTTCTAGTTGATAGTGTATGCCGGCTCCTTATCAGCTAGAGTATGATATATGTGAGCAGTGGTGGATCTATACCAAGTGCCAAGATACTTGCCTTGTGCATTGAATTCATGAATTGGTCGCCAAACTTTGGTGGACAAAATAATCGGTGAGGTTTTGCTAATCTGTTGTAAGACCTGAGGTATTGTGCACTGATTTTGGACATATCTATTAAAGAGTAAACTGTTGATTGGACAAAATCTCTATGCTTGATATTTGTCCAGGAAGGAAACCTAGGCTTATATTTAAAGTTTACACATTATCTAATCTATTAATGGATATATAAGTTCATGTTAGCAAAGTGGTGGGCACTATTTCATGTCATGTTAGTATGCAAGAACAACTGAACCTTGTGCGTGTGTGCAGGCTTCAAAGAAGTATCATATGTGGCAGGATTACATTTCTTTAGTGTTATATATATTAGATTGCGAAGAGCAATGCAAAAATGTTCTAAGGCTGCGTACTATAGACCCAAAGTGGTCGGACCCTTCCCTGGACCCTGCGCAAGCGGGAGTTACATGCACCAGGTTGCCCTTTTTAATAGATGTGCCCATTGATAGTTTTTTTCTTCTTCTCTTCTTTGTTCATCGTAACACAAAAAGAACATGCAATATTCTTATACTCCCTCCGATCTTGCAGCTTTAGTACAAAGTTGTACTAAAGCTGCGACAAGTAATATGGATCAGAGGGAGTAATATATATAGTTGTATCATGTTACGTAATCTCTAGCATAAGACTAAAGCATCAAAAAATTACAATCTAATGAATTGCATCTATCATATTTTGTTAACTCCTTCAGGAGGTACTGTGAAGGGATTTACTGTTCGGCATTTAGCAGTGGAGTAACTTTCTGTTTGCTTTACAATCTTCTAGCCTCCTGAAATTGTATTCCCACATATATGCGACATGCCTATCTCTGCTAGTTCATGCAGTGATTGTTTTCAGCAAATTGTTGCTATTTAATCCATGATAATGTCTGACTTCAACATCTACAAAATAACATCAAAATTTTGCATTCATTTGGGTAACTGGACATTCATTGTAGAACTTGTTCAACAACTTGACAATTACTTTGTTTATGCTTTAAGTTCAATTTTTTATTTGCAAATGGCACCCTGAGCATAGTGTGATGTTGGTCATCTTTCCCTGTGGTCAGCCCTGTGGACTGGGAAAAATTGCGAAGCTCATCAATGCTGGAAAAATTGATTCCTCTGAATTGATCACAATGAAGACACTGAAGGTACTACAGTCATTTCTTTCAACTAGCTATGTTTCTGTTTTCTTCTTTGCAACATCAACTTATCACACTTTATCAGGATACAAGTGCCATTGGAAAACAAATAAAGGATGGGATTCGGTTAATGGGCCGTGGTGCAGAAGAAATCAAATGGCCAATTCACCTCGAGGCAAGCCAAAGCTAGTTTGAAATAGTTAAATCTTTAAGCATACAGTTTCTTGTTCATTTCAAGTCCTCCATTCTCAGGAACAGCATGCATGTTTCATAGTCCTATTCTGTTCTGTTTCTTGCTGCATGCGACAACATATAATCCAAAAATGTAAATGTATCTGTTCCGCCGAGCGCCATTTATCCATTGTAATGTTATCACAGAATGTGCCCATTTAGTTATGTCTTTGCATGACCTGCCTGTCCATTGCTTGCAATCATGTCGAGTACAAGTAGTGGCTCTTGTAGAGGCAATGAGGGAGTTCCAACTGTGAGTGTAGTAAATATAGCTTTCTTATTGTTAAATATTGTTTCGCATGTGCCCAACTAATACAACATGGTTCATATATAAGTATAGTATCTAATAGGTGGTGGCAGTGAAATAAAAACTAGCATGACTTTACTTGCAATGTATGTTAAGTGAAATTATATTGCTTTGATTATCAAGATATAACATTTTCAACTTAGAAGACTGGTTACACATACTAGGTCAGCTGTGAAGATTGGTGCTGCGGATTGGATAGTATGTATCCAAATTTTATGGATCCCTTCCTAAGCAAATGTAAATTGGCAGGTATCAAGGGCGACCGCAAGGGCGAAAGCTGCAGTTGAAGCAGCAGGTGGAACTGTAAGATTGGTGTACTACAACAAGCTTGGGTTCAGGGCACTACTCAAACCTGAATGGTTTGCAAAGAAGGGCCGCCTTATACCAAAAGCGGCGAGGCCTCCACCCAAGCAACGAGACAAGGTTGATAGCATTGGCCGACTACCTGCTCCCACAAAGCCACTTCCCTTCACACCGGAGGAATTAGAGTTTACTGCCAAGCGTGAAGCTGCTAAAGTGATCGCTGCATAGGAGGGAGTACAAATCACTGAAGAAGCCCATCCAAACTTTTATTACTTACATAAGTCTTGCACCGGGCATGTATAACAATCACTTGCTCTTTCCTATAGGTGTATTCCTTGTGGGATCCTTGTGTTTCCTTGTCATTTGTGCTACGCGGGAATGACATTTTCTTCTTCAGGTGGCAGTAGTACCTCCTGGTAAGCACCAGGGCTGGCCAGTAAAATATCCTGTAACAGTCTTTTGAGAGATCAGTTCATTGTTTTTTGAGAGATCAGTTCATTGTTTTCATTAATAGAAACTTTTTCTCTAGGGCAGTCAGTTTCAGCACTAACTGTACTTCAGAAATGTCTGCCAAACACTATAGGACAAAAGATGGCTTTTGGTGTACTAAGTATTAAGAAAAAAAGGAGCATCTGTCAAAAAGTAAAAAAGTAAAAGAAAACAAGGGGTAATTAGTTTTAGGACCCCAATAGCCAACGAACCTTCCCTGGGAAGGGATGGCAATTTTAGTTGCCACGAGCATTGCAATTTTAGTTAGCGAGCATGACAACTACGCTGTAGTTTTGTTTTCCATTATAAAATTGCCGTGCTTGCAAATTTAAATCGTCATCTTTGCCCATCCTTGTGATAACTAAAGTTGCCATCAAAATGTTTGCAATTGCCACCCTTCCTAGAGAACGTCCACTGAAGAACATTACCCTGGTTTTAGCACAAAGAACAACTCTTCAACAACTTCTGTAGGTTCAATGTAAGATCTATCTGTTGTTTAATCATCACATCAATTTTTCCTTCAATTTTTAAGGGGGTGATATCTTTAGCAATTTATTAGTAAAAGCATAAGGAATGGGACAAGAATTCTTGGAACATGGTTACATGCGTACTCGCAAGACCAATATATGAAATTTTATGGTATTAAACTTGATTGACCATTCTACTCACGTGTGAAGTTTCGCGAAGAAATGACATATATGGTATCCTGAGCAAAAAAAAGTAATGCCATACTTATCATAAGGGATCTTGTGTGACCTATTGGATGGAACCGAGGAAGGGGGCCCACCCAGGGGGTATTTATTGGTTAGGGATGGAAGGTCATTTAGCTCTTCGTAGCCCCTTCGTAGGTCTAGGCCTCTTTTGGTTCATAGGATAGGATTATCATAGGAATAGAAAATTTGTAGTAAATGAGATAACATGTATCTCAAATCCTATGAATAGGAATAGGAAACAAGATGTCATTTGGTTCACGCCAAAAGAAATTTTCCATTGAGTCTAGGCTCATTTTTATTTTCCTATGAAATATGGAGGATAGAAACAAATCCTATGTAGAAATAGGAATCCATTCCTATGAACCAAAGTGCTTTAAAGGAAAAAATCCTATAAGAATCATATCCTCTATAATTCTTATGAAATTCCTCCAAACCAAAGGAGGCCCTAGCATTTTCGTGGCGTCTACCCGGCTGAAGCATGTGGCAAGGAAGCCTACTACAATGATTTTGATTACATCAAAGTTTTACCCAAGTCAGTACCGGCCGAGACTTGAAGGAAAGCGTCGCTCTCCCTCTCGTTTGCCCGTCCAGTGATGAGACGGTTATGTTAGGTTAATCAGATTTGACACAAGCCTTGCCCTGACCTTACTCTGGTCAATCAGACAGTACTAATTGATCATCGGCTTGCCCCATCGCAGACACCCGACCACAAGAGAAGCAATCATCAGCCTGGCCCATCGCACTTACACTAATTGATGCCTCTTTTCTCTGAAGCACTCTGTGCTTCATTTGACCTTTTGTTTAAGCAGGGTTGTTTTTGTCTGGTCTTCTGCAACGAAGGCAGAGTGGTTGGAGGGAGTAGTGATCCTTTTGCTCTTGCATATTTTTCTTTTCCTCTGTCGTCCAAGGTTTCGTGTGCATCCTTGACACATGTCCTGGGGCGGTGGGGCCTAATCCCATATTAACAAGATTATAGTGCCGTTGTTGCAAGAAAATTTTCTCCAGGACAACGGAGCTGAAAACAACCAGCCACCCATATTACACCCAACAGCTAGGAATCTCCGTTCGAGCAAGAGAATGCCGGCATTTTCTATGCTGGAGGTTGGCAATCTACCATTGTTTTGCTCCGTGAGATCCCTCTTGGATCGGCTGTCCCATTATCCCACTCTCATTCCAAAAAGTTCTAATATCAACACCCCCAAAAGGCCAAAACATAATGTCCTGGGCTGGAGAGACGAGAGCAACCATACTTAAAAGTTTCTTATAAACGACGTTGCGCCAATAGAATACTGAATACGAACGTGCGAACTCCCATCTAGGGTTTTCTTGCCTCTCGCCGGCGCCGCCAGTTCGCTTCATCTTATATTGTCCTTGGAACATGGAGGCACGGTGGATCCCGGTCCTTGTCGGCTGGAGGGCTCCGTTTTTAGATGCTTTTCTGAGTTTTATAAGGGTTTGTGCCATGCTCAAGAAAATGAGGCGGCGGCGGCTTCTTGAAGATGGAATAAGGTCCTCCTCACCTAGCCCCCGTCCCGGTAACGTTTCAAGCATCGTCGGAAGGCGTGTGAAGGTTTGTCTCCGACGGATCTCGTAGAATCCGGTCGGCGTTTGTCCTCGGTGGATCTGACTGGATCCAGTCTTCGTTCGTCTGCGTCTGTGTGTCTGCAGCTCGCATCCTTCCGGTCTATGCTTCTCTTCATCGGCGGCGGTTGCTGTTCTGGTGCACGACGACTTTCCGACTGTCTACTACAACAATGTTCGCCCGACTCCGACGAGGGAGGGGCAATGACGGCGGTGCGCCTTCGGCTCGCTCCAGTGCTTGTAGTCGTCGCTAGGTGGTCTACGGACCTGGATGTAAATTTTATTTCTAGTGTTTTTTGTACTGCCTTGACAGTTGATGAATAGATCGAAAGTTTTCTCGTAAAAAATAACTAATACGAACCAACTACTGCATATATATGTTCGTTCCAGTACCCATACCGTGCTGTTTGTCGCAGTGGTATTAGTTGCCGACGTCTCCCGTGACACCGAGTCGTCTCCCCAGGTTGCTGGTTAGTCAAGCACTAATAAAAAAAATATGACTATGCTAACCAGACAGCCACCACGGCCATAGCTATTATACTACCAATCCATTGATGATTAGGCATATACTAATTCAACTTCCAACCAGCTGTTAGAATAAGCACATGCTTAACTGCCGCCGTTCGTTGCAAAAAACGCACCAAATAGATGAGAAGGTACTGAAAATCCCGGGACTTCTTTTTGCGGGTGTTACATAATTCTCATCATGTCGACATCCGGTGGAGAGTCGGCTGAACACATCCGGGCTGCACACCTACTACTACGACTAGTTACTGACTTAAAACTTATTTCAAATCTCCTTGTAGAAACAGCAATATGAAATGCATTTGCATGAGTTGGTTTTGCACTGTGGCAATGATTGTTGCAATTGACCGAGTCCAGAGTCCAAACCACCAAGGGAGTATAAAGCCAGAGAGGAGGCTTTCGGGAGAGCTTGCATCCAGGCACATATACCAAGTACACCAATCAGCAACCTTCAAGTATCCTAGTTTGATCTCGCCGCGAGCCCGTGAAGATGAAGGTTCTGCATGCTCTTAATTTCCTTCCTCCCAAGCTTGTTTCTGAGATTTTATTGGTTACTCACCGTTTCTGTTATTCTGAACCAGATGGTGCTTAAGGTGCCGATGGTCTGCAAGAAGTGCAAATCTTGCGTCCTTACGATTGTGTCCAAGGTCAAAGGTCTGTATATTCTCTCGCTCTATGGCCTTGATTCGCTCGTCTCTATAACTTACTTGACAGGTCGTGTCGTGTGTGTCCATGGCAGGCGTCAAGTCGATGGCATACGACGAGGAGAAGAGCACGCTGACGGTGGTGGGGGAAGTGGACGTGGTGGTGGTCGTCGACGCGCTGCGCAAGGGGAAGCACCCGGCGACAGTGGTGACGGTGGGCGACGAGAAGAAGGAAGCGGAGGAGAAGAAGAAGAAGGAGGAAGAGGAGAAGAAGAAGAAGGAGGCCGAGGAGAAGAAGAAGAAGGAATGCCTGGAGAAGATGCAGAAGTGCTGCCCCAAGGCTTGCCCGCCGCCACTCTACTGCCCCAAGGCTTGCTCGCCGCCACGCCACTGCCCGCCGCCACCCCGCTGCCCGCCGCAATCCTACTGCTACGTCGACGACTCCGGCCCCTGCACCATCGTGTGAGCGAGAGGGGAGATCATCGACCCGGCGCCGATCGTTGTTGCCGGTGCAAATCAAGCCACTCCTCCAGGCCAGGCACACCAATTAATTCGTGCGTACGTCTTGTTCATCGTTCAGAAGATTCAGAGCTTGCATGCACACTATTTTCTTTTCCTGTATCTTTTCCGGTTCCTGTGATCAAGAATTGTATGTCTCCACGGAGACCTTCTTTTACTACTCACAACTCGTCTACTTGCAATCTGCAAATGAGCTGTTTGGTTCATGACCATGCGACGACTTGGATATAAGATTGGTGGTGGGGTTCTTAGCTTCACCTAATAATGTGACAAGTTGATTAGTCTACCGGTCGGCATTGCCAAATGGAACAGTTTATTGCAACAATTTGTCCCTATCGACGCTCGAACTTTCATATGCCGTTGCCGATTGGTACCCTCCGGGAAACAAATTATTTCTGCAGATCACGCAATGATTCAGGTGCACTTTTACAATTCTCCAACTTACCTCTTGACCATTGAAAAAAAAACACTCTTGAGACTTACTCCCTCCGTTTTTAAATATTTGTTTTTCTAGAGATTTCAACAAGTAACTACATACGAAACAAAATGAGTGAATCTACGCTCTAAAATATGTCTATATACATCCGTATATGATAGTTCATTTGAAATCTCTAAAAAAATAAATATTTAGAAGCGGATGGAGTAGGAGCTAAGGGCATCTCCAGCCATTCGGTGCCCTCAGGGACTGAAATATTGCCGTCTGGGGGCTAGCCGATGCTATTTCCACCGTGGGGGCGATTGGGTTCCCAACCGCCGTCCCAAATTGATCCCAGACGCCATTTTTTGAAATCCAAATTCGGCTAGATTCATACAAAATGACACAAATTTGGACGAAATTCAGGCGGTTTTCATTGATATTTGTACAAAATTAAAGACATAACTTAAAAACTTAGAAAAATAAAACTACGCTGCCGCCGCCGCCCCGAGCCTACTGCATGCCAAGGACCTTGTAGAAGGCGGTGTAGTCGCCGCCGTCGTCGTCCTGCACGCCGTCGTCCTCCTTGCTACAACCCTGTCCTGGGTCGCCGTGGCGGACGGGGTTGGTCAGCGCCGGCGCCTCTTCGTCGCTGTCCTCGAGGACGATGACGCGCGGCACTGGCGCTCCATCTCCTCCTGGACGTAGTCGTCCCGCGTCCATTTGAGGCCGGTTTCAAGGTCAGCGGCCATGTCGACATGCTCTTGCTTGACGACGACGGGTTGCGTCGCCGGCTCCTTCTTCGGCCTGACAAGGCGAAGATAGCCGCGGGGAGGAGGGCAAGGTGGTCGACGGCCCTCATTTATGATGAGGCTGTCGTCGCGGCTGCGCGGGCGCTCCGGCGTGTCCTGGGGCTCGGCCTTGACGGCAGCGAGCGGCATCGTCGTGCGGGAACCGAGACGATGAGGACGACAAAGGTTCTTGGCATCGCCCAGTCGCTGACTCAGCGGGTCCATGTGGTACAGTTTTGTTTTCGCACCAAATTCGTTTCCCCCGGCACCCCCGGTCGGCCCCTAGTGTGCTGGGTTCGGTCTGGGTCCGTCGGCGCCAATTTCAGTCCTAACCGCGAAATTTGGGCTCTTGGGGCGCGACTGGGCCGATTTTTTCGAGCCAGCGATAAAAAAGGGGCGGGGGGGGTGCGAGTGGAGATGCTAAGACTAGAGAACAAATCTAAACTGTTGTTGACACACGAACACGTCCCGTGTACCCTCGACGCCGGGGGTGATGCACCGCAACTCACGTCGAAGGAGACCCGACCGATAGCGCGATACGCAGGACAGTCGGCGGGCGCTTTTGCAGACCCGAAACCCCGCGCACCCGGGAGGGACCCCGTCAGGGATTGCGGCGGCTATGGGCTGCCCTAGGTCGATTCGCTCGCCCCTAGAGCCTCGTGGATCGCTGCCCTCCAACGCGAAGAACGAACGAAGAACGAGAAAGAAAGATACAAGGGTGAGGGATAAAAGTAGATGAACACAAAAGTGTAATTGATAGATTGGTTCGATTGGTGTTGTTTCAATGGGCCGTCACCCCCAACATATATAAGAGGCGGCTGGACTTCCCGTACAAGCAAAGGATTTATCTAGGCTTTCCTTACAAGAAAATTACATCAATTCACGTCCAAAACCCTAGTCAAATTCGGACTGATTTTATCCGAACTTCTCAAAACTGCTCGGTTTAAACTGGCTGCACCTTGCGGGTCCTTTTTGCAGTGGTAAACGATCTCGGATGAAAACAAGCCCAAAAGCAATCTTGGTTGTTTCGACGAGACGAACAACTTTCATGTTAAAGGGTTTTGATCAGAGATCATCTTGAGGGTCAAATCGGTCTCGCAACACAGGCTATCTCCTCGCGCTACCCGTCAGCCATGTGTCTGGTGGGGCGCGCCACATCTTGCCTCGTGACAGGGCTGCACTCCGATTGCTCTAACTTTTGCATACGAACTCGGATTTGAACGATTTTTATATCAAAATCGATCATTTCGACGAGACGAAGACAATTCCTGTAGATCATTTTTCCATACGAGGCCGTCCTGTGGGGCGTAATCAGCCGAATAGTGTTCTGAATACAAAATCTTAGTACTTCAAACACAACTTCGGCCTTAGAGATGAGTTCGGATGGCCATGACCCAAATATTAAAGTTTCTCCTTTTGATGATACAAAACTTCATCACTTTGAGCACTTTTCCATTTGAGGCTATCTTAATTATGTTTTTGACCATGCCAAAATCTGGTGTCAACACATGCCCCCCTGTTTTTCGGCAAAACTTGTGTGCCGAAAAATAACTCGCATATAGCTTGTTCTAAGGACGATGTCAACACTTCATCGACCATTTTGCATGTTCTTAGGACGATAAGTATATATCGGCCATTGCTTGTGTGAACTTTCTGATGCAAACTTGGGTGAAACCTTCTCAGCTTCATTAACAATCCGGTGATAAAGTTCCATAGATATGTATCTCAATGTCATCCTCCGAACAATATTGTTCACCCTTTTGCTAGGATTTTGTAGACAATCAACAATAAACTTTCTCCAATCCTTACTTTCACCTGCATAAAAATTTCATTAGTGGCCGAAGCTGTGGACTTCGGTTCGGCCTTACCTATGTTGACGAGACTAAGCATCGGCTATTGAGAGAAATGCAATACAACATGATGGACATGGTAGCCGGATGCTTGCTATGCCAACTCTCTCCAATTGTCATGTCTAAATATATGAACAATTTTAATGCAACCCAAGGTAAATTCTTCATCTAGACATACCCCAAGATAAACTATAAGTGATTCGTCAAAACACATTGATAACCCTTGGATATTTGTTGCACTACTCATAACGAATCATCAAAAGCCTCAATATGTATAGCACCTATAGCAAGTAAAAGAGTCAATCCGAATAACAATGCATATTCGGCCTTGATTAATCATGCATAAAAATATTCTAAGCGGCACGAGGCTTCAAAAAATAGTACCATAAAGAAATATATAAACAACACCAACACTTTGGCCATTGCTATGAATTGAACGATCAAAACATAATCTCCATAGTACTAGAGAGACAAGGCTAATATTAATATTATGCATGACATTAATCCGATGCTCAGTAACAAAATCAACTATGATTTGGCCTCTTATAGATCTCAAAGATGCATAAGCCAAATCATATCCAAACAAAGTATAAGCCCACCAACCAATTCTGCAGCTATGAATTGGTCTACGCAGCATATATTCAATGACATCGGTCATGATGTCTCAACTCCATTCAATCATAATATAGGCATACATATAAATTTTCATGAGCACGTACCTTGTCTCGCTCTCCAATCAAACTAAGGACGATGTTAGAATACTACACCGGCCATGCATTGACATACTCTTAGGACGATAGATAAATATCGGCCATTACCATGTAAACTTCATTCAAAGCACATATAGCCGAAATAAACAAATGAAATGACAAATCAAGTATTTCGGCCCTTTGGATCAGCAACAAACTTGTAGCTAATCAAATCTATAGTGACTTGATAATACCTTTTCATGACGTAAGAAATTATATTGCATCCATGGATTAAAATAAGCCCATTGAGGGTTACCAATCATATCTGATGACGAATTCCATGGCATAGGCGTTAATGGCATAGTTGAAGAATGTGTAAACCAAAGATGTTGAAACCTTCGGCTTGGTCCTTCATAGTTTTTACTCTTTTCCTTCTTCACTTTTGCCGCACTTCTTGTAATGGAGGCATGCACATAATTCTTATTTTGAGCACTTCCTTTGGGAACCCATGCCATGTTCCTTTCTTCAATTTCTTGTGCACTAAGTTTATGTAATTCCCTCTTTTGCCAATACGATAAGCCGAGTGGGCATCTCGGCTGTGATTCTGTTTTGACCAATGGCAATTCCTTTTTGGCTTTGTGCACTCTCAACTTATTTTCTTCAGATTTGGCACTTTGACTCTCAATAATTGGTTGCTTCATCTCATTGCCTTTTGTAGCCAATGTCAACACTTTAATTGACTCTTTATTATTTGAGATCAAATTTGAAGTAGCACACTTACGACCATCTCTTTTCACGTGGTAGACTTGCTTGACCACCTCTTTTTTCATCCATGGTGTCCGGACCGATTCCTTATAATTGAAACGGTCTTTAACATGTGACTGTTCAAATGTTGATCTTCTCGGAGCCGCATAATATTGGTGAGATGGTCTAAAATAAGATGGAGAATGTGCCCTTGTATCATACCTGTCCCATAATGAATATGGATCTACATGAGCATAGGGAGGCATCCACAACATTGGCATTGGCGGCCCAAAATAAGGATGAATATGTTGTATTGAAACTCTCACTTTGCCAATACCGATCCTCATATTTGCGCCTTGAGGGTGATCTTGGTTTCTTTGCATGATTGGGCCGATAAGCATTCTTCTCTTCACTCTTCTTTTGATATTTCTCCAATAGTTCAGCGAAGGTGATTTTTG